TAAACATTAATTTTTCCTTACTATCAAAGAACTCCCCACTCATAACATTTGACAATGTTGCTTCATCCCTTGATCAAACCATTCAAAACATTGATGCTTACATCTAAACTAATCCAACCTCATCAATTCCTGGTGAAATTGGAAGTGGTTTGGATGTCAAGCCTATTGATGTTGATTCACCATCAAACAGCTCCACCAGAACCATATCAGACCAACCTGTTCAGGACTATATCAATGATAGATTTGAGTATGTTGGGTCTGAACAACAATCAGAAAATAATGACCAAAACCAACCCTTACCATCATTCCATCAGGAAACTACTCAACACAAATATCCATCAAATCATGCTTTAGAAAATAAATTTTCAACTTAATATGTTCATGAAACCTAGAAAAATAATACAAACACACCATCTCAACACATAACTAACTACAAACCTCTACCCAATCATGTACTTTCTCAATTAGAAGTTTTTAAGACTAGGTTGTTTAATAAGGCGAAAGCACTTGCGAAAGAAGGATTCACATCCACTAACTCTGCAGCTTATAATGCAAGATAGGGAAAGCTTCAGAAGATCTATCAACTCGGTTATTGAAGATCTGAATATTGTGTCAACAAAGGAAGTCACTGCAACTAGCCAAAAGTAATTGCTTAATCTTGAAGCTAAAGTAACTACAATTGCTGAATGTCAAGAGGTAATGAAAATTCATATGGATAGCAACCAACTCTTAGTGGACGCTCAACTCAAGTCCGTGGTTGAAAGGCAATAAGAAATTGGTTCTGATCTCAAGGTAATCATGGAATTGTTGAAGAAACTTTAGGTTTAGGATGTAGAAACCGTTTCTATGTTTTTTTTTGTGAATCTTTATATTGTTTTATGTTTGTGGATCTTATCATCATTACGCCGTTATATGTTATCATGTTTGTAGATCTACATATGCTTGTGAAATTATCATACTTCTGGTTGTTTATATGTTCATTATTTTAGTTGCGTGTTATACTCATTATTGACGACTTAAAGTAAAATGAAACTTGCTTTTACTAGCTAAACTAAGCATATAAACTGAATTAAGAGAAACTTCATTGGAATATTAAAAATTACATAAGAAATGATAATATTGTACACTAAATTAGTCTATTCCTAGACTCCTTTGTTGCTTCAGTCATCTTTCTTTGTGTTGCAAAAATATTCCTTCCAGTATTGTTTTGCTTCCTCGTCTTTAGAAGAAAGACCTTCAGAAGCAGTTATATGCTCATTTGATCCTGAAGTCTGTGCTCTGTAGGTAGTCAATCTGGTTTGAACGCCTTTCTTTTTCTTCAGTTTCTGATTCTCACTTATTGCATATGCTTGAAGTTGTTCAGAACATTCCTTTGTTGCCAAACATCTCTCTCTTGTTGCTTCAGCTTTATTCTATAATTCAAACTCTCTTACAATATCACACCTCTCACTCTTTTGAAGCATGAAGTTATAAGATTTTTTCTTCATAACTATCTTATAATTGAAGAACTTTTGAAAACCTGCATGCACTTTTGAGGACTCCTTGTCGATTTGCTTTTATAGAGAGCTTTAAGTATTCATTCAACTACATATGCGAACCAACTATTAATAATCTTTGACCATCTTGGGACACTGCATTTACTTGACGCTGACTGCTATAAACCATGTAAAGTATTTTTGACCATCTTGGGATTCTGCACTTCTGAACTTCAGTTGCTTTTATTATTTTCCTATTTTTAACTGTCCCATCTTTTGTTTTATTTAACCTTTTTGATGTGACAAAAGGTGGAGAAATATAGAAGTATTTAAATACGAATTTATACCCTTCAGACTCATTTAGTCTTTCTATATTTAATATGGTTATCTTGCCCGTGTAAATAATTTTAACTTTTCTTGTATATAGAATTAAAGGGGAGTTTAAAAACTTCAACCTTAGCCTATTAGATTCAAAAGAGTAATAGCTACTATAAGTACCCATTGTATTATTCAGTAAAATTGTATTTAATAGACAAGTTTGTAGCTTTGTTTTTTTCTTCAGGTTTACAAGTTTATCACTTTAGCATTGACCATCAGGAAAGCAACTTACAACTTAAAGGCAAAGAATGATAAAGAATCAAAGGACTTATGCTCAACCTTCAGATACCTCAAATATTAAGGTTTAACCAAATAAATTCCAGTGTTGATTATTCTTTCTTATTGAGTGTATCCATACATTATTATTTTATCTGGTTTGATCTATTTCCAATTAAGTTTGTCTGGTTTAATTGAGACACACCGGGGTAATTGTTTGTTTATAATTTTGAGCCTCTGTAACCACCATGTAGTAATAGGTATATCCATTTGCTAACCATTTTGAGTTTATCCTTTCTTTTGATGTCATAGCCTAAAATTCTTAGTCGTATGACTTGAAAGATCTTATCTTTCCACCCTCTCGTTGGAGTTAGGTAGAACTATAGTTCTTAAGTTGAATGAAAAATATTAATTTTGGAGTTGCTCTTGTGTCGCAATATAAAAAATACCTGAGTGCATCGCACGCTTGAAGATACAACATAGTCGCCACCATACTTTATTTATTTCAAAAGAAAAGGGAAAATATCGATAAAACCCAAGGGAAAGAGAAAAGGGTAAGAGAGTCAGTTATGTGAGGGAAAGGTATTAACATCCCTCAGATCCGTTGTACTCAACAGGAACCATTTTGATTATTTTTTGCATGAATATGTGTTATTATCTAAAGGCTACTTGCGTAAGGGAAAAAATAAGTTTTAAATTAATGTGCTCGCCAAGGATCTGAACCCTCGCGTCTACTTATTCTGATAGTGCAATGAGAAAATTAGAGGTCCGTAGTTTATGGTAGAAAATACAGAATTGTTGGTTACTTTTAGGGAGAAATTGTAATCGTATCCTAGAAGTGTGCAGACGTTAGCTGATTTGATCCTTGTTCAGATGCTCCAAGCTTTTAGTCTGACTGCTAAGGAACATATTATAACAATTCTTTTATGTAAAGAAAAGAAAATGTTTTGAAAAAACTTTGTGTGACAAAAGAAAAGAAAGAGTTACTTGAACTGAATTAAAAAAAAAAGAACTTGTTTGAATGGAAACAAAACTACTTGAATAGGGAAAGTGTTGTTCAGAAAGGTGTTACTTGGATGTTGTGAAAGTATTGTTTGAACCAGGAGTGTGTTGTTTGGTATGATGAAAATATTATTTGGACCAAAATCGTGTTGTTTGAATCCATAGGATGATGTATTTGAACCAAGAGTATGGTGTTAACCAGTAGATGGTGTGACCAATGCAAAATTGTAGGGTTTTGCCTAGATCCGGGGATCAAGACCTACAAGTAAGAGTTTTTCCAAGATCTGGGAATCAAGACCTATAAGTAAGGGTTTTGCCTAAACACATGGCTTACAGGGCATGAATGAGGGTTGCCAAAGCACAGGCTCCATAGGGCAATGCATGAAGGTTGCAATAGCACAGAGCTCCACAGGGCAATGCATGAGAGTTTCTAGAGCATAGAGCTCCACGGGGCAAAGTAAAAGAAAAAGGGTTTGCCTGAGCATATAGCTCCACATGGCAATGCATGAAAAGGTTTGTCATAGCATAAATCTCCACAAGACAATGCATGAAAGGGGTATGGATTCAGAGATGGGTGTTTAACTAAAAGAATGTAGGGATGCCAAAGAAAATTGTGTTTGGTCTAGAGAGAGAAGTATTATTGATGGAGATTGTTGTAATGTTGAGGTGTTGAAGTGCTTGTTGGTTGCGGGGAAGAAAAATTGAAAGTTATTTGATTTGAATTGCACTAAAGTGTATGAACGGAGACTAATACTTTGAATAATTGAGGCATACGTCCCCTATTCGAAGATACTCAGAATAAAGATAGGAATAACCCTTCTCATCCTTCTATGTTGCTTAAGCCTCGCGATGCACAATTCGAACCATAAGTGACAAATGTTGAAGGAAGAATATTTTTGTTGTGCTTTAATGATGAAGCAATGACCCAATCTTGATGTCCAAATTCTTTGAAGTCTTGTAGGAGAAGCTTGACTTGACTTGAAATCTAGCGTAGTGCCAATGCATAGGGATAATCCTATCAAGTGATAAGGAGGCTTAAGATCACCTGACTGGACAGGGAAAGCAGATAAAGTGTCAAATGACTAATTTATCAAAAATAACTCTGACCAATCATTCAATTGGGGACATGATCAGAGTGTATAAGCACCAGGATTTTATTTAGTCTAGAAATATAAAGAGATTAAGATGTTAATCATGCATATCAATTTCTAAAATAAAAAAAACTAATCTAAATTTAATATGAACATCTATATCAATTTAAAAAAATCTAAATTGAAAATAAATTTTAAAACTAAATGATTAATTTCTAATGTGAATCTAAGTGTGTTATTGTTTAGTTTTCAAATTATTTTTCTTTTAAGCAACATAAAATGTGTTAAAAAAAGTATTAAAATGTTTTAAAAAAATAATTAGTTAAAATGTATTAAAAGGAATAACTAAAAAGACAATAAGAAAAACAAACAAAAGATTAAAGAAAAAAAGTAGAGAAAAAAATAGAGGCAGGGGTGTAGTGTGGGCCATTAGGGGTGTGCAAGAACAAGCAGCATGTGCTTATATCTTCAGGCCCAACGAGATGACGTTATGCTCAGTTGGGAGAGGGTGAGACCATAGTGTGGTGTAGCCAGTAATTTCTATGGGCTCAAGGGCTTTGAGGCCCAAAACGCATTTACAAAGGGGGGAAATGAACATCAAAAAGCTTCCATTCGTTTATTCATCCAATGCATGTCTCCACGTTGTGTCACTAGAGGTATCACTTGAGGCCTAACCTCGCCTCGCCGGAAATCTCCCCCGGCGGCGGTGGAGGTTCAATCACCATCAAACTTACCTCGTTCTAACCGTTTCTAACCCCTTTCTCTCATTCTCAAGCTATTTTCTCATAATTCTTAAACACAACTCCAAATTGAAGCAGAATATTCATGAACTCTAAGAATGAAATTGGCAAATAAACGACAACGGCGAGTGGAAAGGAGCTCAAACCTTAGGGGTTTGGCTCCTTTCTACCAAGTCTACATCGCAATAACAAAGATTAAGCAGGAAGAAGGGGAAATTGAGTGCCACCAACCTACGAGGCAGAGATGGCCTCAGAATGCATGGAATGAGATGGAGCTTATGGAAGCGCAGAGAAAACCAGAGGAACTTCGAACAAGGTAAGCAATTCAAACTCATAATCTAACGCAATCTTTTTCTTCTTCTTCTTTTGCGTCCCAGTCTGTAGGTTGCTTGATTGGTGATGCTCTGTGTTTTTACGTGTGAGAGTGAGGGAGTAGAAAGGAAAATGCAGAGAGATTGAGAGATTGGGAGAGACAAAAGACGGAATTGGGAGAATTCTCAATGAGTTTGGTGATTGTGATTGGTAGAGTGTGATCGATCCTCGTGATTAAAGAGATGAATGAATTTATAGGAATAATGATGTAACCATTTCGGGCAATGCTTGTGCAGTGGTTTGTTTCAAGTTAGGGCAGTTGTGATTGTTAATAGTTTTGAAGAGAAAGGTTGTTAGAGCATTCACACTGTTAGAAATTCTGTTAGGATGTTATGACTAATTCAATTAATGAGGTTGAGAAGGAGTTAGTTAATGCTCTGTTAAAATTGTTAGTTACAGTTAGTTAGATGTAATCTTGTTAGGGAACTATCAATTGTTAGTGTCAGCTATGAATTAGCTAATGGCTCGAATTTTAATTAATAAAGAGTTGTGTTCGGTTAGTTAGGGTGTTCAATTGTGGAAAGAAGTTAGTTATAACATTAGTTTAGATAGAAGCTTGTTAAAAGAATTTGAATGTGGTGCTAAAGGTTGTTAGTATGTTGAGATGGATTGAAGTTAGTTGCTTGTCATGCGTTATCTGTTATGTTGAACTCAATTGGTGAATTCAGTTGTAGTTAGCATCATGATTAATTATAACTAGCTATTATTAGTGATTGTTAGAATGTTAGGATTAGTAAGTGAAGAATAGTTTGAACTGTTAGTAAAGTGAAGCTAGGGTTAGATTATGATGTTTAGAATTAGGAAAACGTGATGAATCAAATGGTTATGTCAATGGACTGTTAATGGTTTTAACAGAGTTAGAAAGCTGTTAGTAACTGTTGGCTTTCAAAATGTTAGGATTGTTAGAATTATTTTGACGTGTTTTAGAATTAGAGATTCGAACCTAATGCATTAATGGGACTGTTTTGAAATGATGAAGCATGCTTGTTTGACTTGTTATGGATTTGTGAAACTGCTAATTGCTACATATGCTCGAAGTTAGTGATTTTAACAATTGTGATTGTTAGCATATGTCAGAACCTGATTGTGTTGGATTGGAGATGAAAAGTGTGACTTGCTATGAGAACTTGTGAAATGATGTTAGTGTGGCTATTAAAAAATTAGTTGAATTGCAATGATGTGTTGAAATGCAATGTAAACAAATGTGAACTGTTAGGATTGACTTGCACAATGGTTTGTGTTAATTAGTTTGAATTATGGATGCTGCTAGTGCAAATGGATGATGTTAGAATTGTCATGCAGGAAGGATTTGTTATGTATGATGAGTGGATACATTGTCTTAGTGTGAAGTATGCAATGTCTTTGTTTCTCTTGCGTATGTAGGTCATGTCATGTTCATTGTTGTTGTATGGACTAATATGGTGTGTGCATTTTAGAGTATGTAACTAAAGGTTTGGCTTGATGCAGAGCTGGAATACACACATAATGAGAGGGGACTAAGCATGGCAAGGTGCATGGAGACATGGAGGAGTCATGACTCATGGAGACACCTTCAAGCATTATGAAGGATACTAAACAAAAAAATGGTATGGTTTATAAATGAAGAAGGGGTAGGATTAAGATTAAATAGTTAAATTTGGTCAACTATTTGACCAAAAAGTCAACATTTGACCGAAAGTCAACTGTAGGTCAAAATATATTCATTTTTGTAAACTTTTCTCGTGATATGGATTTGTAATGCAATGCACTGATGATTTGTAATGAAAGTAACTTCCTTTTGAATGAATTGTGTATGTATGCTTCCATAATTTAAATTTGAATGAATATTGATTGAAAATGAATCTTGAATTTGAATCTGTTGATCACCTAAATGAAGTTTTATACCATGAACCAAACAAAACCAAAACCATGGTAGTCAGCAAGTAACCCTAATATAGATAATATGATCTGATAACCAAAACCAAGATTAGGGTTTCTCTGAGAAGTTAACCAAAGAATCAAAATCAATCATCAATTTGTTGCATCCACAACTAATATGTCCAGATGAACCATCATAACCAAAAACTTGCAAACTCAACTTAAATGTCTTGTATCTCAACTAGCAAGGAACCTTTGAACCAAATGATGTTGTTTGCAACTGTAAATGAATGTGCTGTGATGGATGATTAAGTTATATGAATATGCAGGTGAAATGAGTCATAGGCCAGATAAAAATGAAAAAAGTAAGGCAAATTTTATCGTATGACATCTATCCCTATTTAATCGTTTTGAACCTGAAAGCATGAATGGCGACAACTTTTTCGGGAGTTCGAGGTAGAAGAGGATTAAATACAAGAATATCCAAAATTTTGTCCATTGGATATGTATTGAAAGGAAGGTAAGTGTCTTGATGGGAATTTGTTTATTGGGGATATGGAATGGTGAGTAAGCCTTTGTAGGGTCATTTGTTGGGGGAATTGATTGAAACATTCTGTTTGGGAAATAAATCAGTCGCGAAAGAAATGTTTAATATGCATGACATATGCAATGTATGTTTGTTTTTTCATGATGCATGAAATTATGTATGTTATGCATCGATGTAAGTTAATTTTGTGAGATGATTGGTATCTATAAGGGTCATACTTTTTCGTGTGGTGGTAAACTTCGACTCTCTGATATCTGCATCAAAGAACTTATGACACAGGAGTCGATTTTAAATTACCATGCTGGAGATTTCAAGCCTGATCCTGCTGGGGAAGAAAGGATATGTGGTCTGATAGGGTAGTCATTGAGATGCTTTAGTGTATTAAACATTCACTATAGACTACCGATCTCTCTTTAGAACTTTTTCATGTAAACAAAGCAATGCTAAAAATTTTTCTTTTGTTTTAACTTTTTATTATTCTCGATGTTTGTGGCATTATATGATAAAAAAATAATCAATTGTTTTGCAAACAAAATACGAGCAATGAAAATCAATTGATAAATGGAAGTGAATTTTATTGAATGTGGAGAAATTTGTACATAAGATGTGTGTACGAGGATGTAAAATACTCAGAAGCAACTTGCAGATGTGCTTATTAAATCTATCAAGACTGAACACTTTATCCATTTGAGGGATATAATTGGTGTTGTTGATTTTAGTCTTGAATGGGAATTAAAAGATATTGTTTAAGTGTAATACAAATTCACATTTAAGTTACATTTACATTTAAAATTTGAGTTTCATCCATGGTTCTTATAGTATAAATACTGAACTCAAGTTTTAGTTGTAATAGAATTCAGTGTATAACCATGTTCAGTTAGAGAGTAAAAGTTAGTTACAAATTATTTTCTCTTTTTCATCTTCTTCATTTTTAACTTTGTGCTCCAACAATAACATATAAAAATTTAAAATTGATGCTTTGTAGGTTGTACTTTATTTGACTAAATCAAATTGGTATAAATATTATAATTTGCTAATTAGTTAAAAATTAGTATAAATATTATAATTTACTAATTAGTTAAAATTGTTATTTCAAGTTTATTTAATTTATGATTAATAAATATTTCATTAGTTATGTTTATATGTGATGTGATGTTTTTGCATTTCGAATCTTGCTTTTTAAAAGAATATGCGTAATATAAATTTTCCTATCAGTATATGTCGTAATATATTATAAATAAAAAGTTGACAAAATTAAAAAATAAAATGAAATATGCACCGGTTGTGTAAAATATTTTTACACTTTCAATTAATAAGGGAGGTGCCAAATTTGTTGGAACAAATGTTTTTAAGAAAGATGAAAAACGAAGAACAAAAAGAGAGAAAATTGTAAAATGAATTAAGAAAATTAGGATTGAGTGATGTTCTTTTTACATCATACAAAGCCCTTTATATAGGCAACTATAGCCCAGAAAAATACTACACAAACTGACCCAAGTCCAAAACGTAAAAATGTAAAATATAAAATTAGAAGTTACATGTCGACACTATTATATGTTGTATTCGACTCTATCAAATATATTTGACTTCTGAACTACGACTACCTACTTCGACACAGTCGAATGCTAGATTTCAAACTGAACATCGAATTACAATTTCTAACACACCCCCAGATTCATATTCTCGATACTTCTCATCTCGATGCTCCTCTTGAAGTCGTCAAATATGACTCTCTTCTAGGGTTTGGTAAGTATGTCAGCTAGTTGCACTTTTGTCTTGGAATGCTTAAGTTCTAGCTTTCCTTTATTGACTTGATCCCTCAGAAAAATGATACCTTCTTTCTATGTGATTATTTCGACCATGACACGCTGGATGATTCGCCTGGTCGATAATTGACTTGCCATCGACAAACAAATTTATTTTCCTATGTTCCATTAACTCGAGTTCATTAAGCAACATCTCCGTCCAGAGATAACATATTTTGGATTTTTGAAATGTGGTTAGTGGATGGAAGTGCAAACGAGAATTATACATAGGTAGGACAAATTTGGGGTATGACAGATGCCCCTATCTAATTGGCTTAAACCTAGTAAGATGAACTGCTACAGCGTTCATTCTTTCGAGGTAAATGTCAATTAGATATGAAGAAGACTATGAATTTGTCTGAAAAGAAAGGAAAGTATTTGGAAAGTGAAATAACAAATCAATGTAACCCTCGAGCATACACTAAAAAACTGGCAAAAGTTGTTATCACCAAAAGAATGATAAAGCGACACACACACAACCCTGACACCAAAAGGATGCATGGGTCCATTACCAAAAGGATAATGGAGAACACTCGCATAATTCTGACACCAAAAGGATGATAGAGCGACACACACAACCCTGACACCAAAAAGATGTAAGGGTCCATTACCAAAAGGATAATGGAGAACACTCACACAATCTGACACCAAAAAGATGATAGACCTATCACTAAAAGGGTGATAGAGCAAACTCACACACACAGTCCCAACACTAAAAGGATGATGGAACACTCGCACAATCTGACACCAAAAGGATGACAAACCCATCACCAAAAGGATAATAGAGCAAACTCATGCACACAGCCCTGACACCAAAAGGATGTAAGGGTCCATTACGAAAAGGATAATGGAGAACACTCGCATAATCTGGCACCAAAAGGATGACATACCCATCACCAAAAGGATGATAGAGCAAACTCACACACACAGTCCCAACACCAAAAGGATGATGGAACACTCGCACAATCTGGCACCAAAAGAATGACAAACCTATCACCAAAAGGATGATAGAGCGAACTCATGCATACAAGTTGCTACCACCAAAAGGATGATAGAAACTTCCAAAATTTGAAGGCCACCCACACCAAAAGGATGCATGCTAGGTTGAACTGATGAGGTTTAGCTATCACCAAAAGGATGATAGTGAGGCAATTGACAAAAATTCAAGTTTGTTGGAGATATGATGAGTGAGGCTTAATTGAGACATCAACAAAAGGTTGAAGCAAAGAAATCACTGAGGAACACCATCCTTATCAACAAAAGTTTGAAAGGAGGCGGCTCACTAGAGAACGTCCAAGAGAAAAGTTGAATTGAAACAAATCAACAGGGAACTCCCTCTAATTCGAAGAAATGCCACTGGTTGAGCCGGGGAGGCCAACTTCAACAATAAAAGGTTGAGAATACAACTCAATGAGGAACGCCCACTGACTTACTTGGAGATCACAACTTTGACCATAAAATGTTAAAATAACTTCACGAGGAACATCCATGAACTCTGGAAAAGATGCCCCTGGTTGGGCTGAGTTTGCTTGATAACTTTTGAACTTGCTCAATAAAGGGTTGAACAACTTCGTGAGGAACGCTTAAGGTCTTGGATAACATGCCCCTGACTGGGCTAAAGTTTGCCTGATATCTTGGCTTGGTCAGCAAAAGAATGAACAACTTCGTGGGGAACGCCCACGAATTTGCAGAAGATGCCCCTAGCAGGGCTGAATCTTTCTTTGACACTCTTGAACTTGACCAACAAAAGGTTGATACAACTTCGTGGGGGAAGCCCGCGGTCTTAAATAACATGCCTCTGATTGGGCCGAATCTTGCTTTTAAAATTCTCATCAACCATAAGGTTGAAACAACTTCGTGGGGAACACCCACGGTCTTGCAGAAGATGCCCCCAACTGGGCTGAAAACCGTCTTGGAAATCTCGAGACTGATCCTGGACCTTGACTTCTATATATGAATGCTTAATATTAATGAGGCTCCATATTAAATGGAAATGCAAATGCAAATGCTGACGCGCGGAGATGCAAGTGTTGGGGAAGTATGATTGGTTTTGGGTATGCATATGATACAAGACGGCGTCGAATGCAATGTATATGATGCACATGATTGTAGACGGGTGATTGGAAATGTATGGATGGTGCCAGCATGGTGTACTTTTGGTAGTTGCCAATGTGGATTGGACTTTGGGTGGTGGGAGGGTTTAATTTCCTCGACACGCAATTTTTTAAAGACACCATGATTGAAATAGACAAAGATGCTCTCAATGCCCCAAGTCTG